GAATTACTCAATCCCCTTTGCCATGACAATCCAGCAATCAATGAAGGGGAAATAATTAATTACCTTCTGTCACGTCTATTCTGACTTATGGTGACCTTTGCCAGAGCTTCTTAGGTGTAAAATACTCACGGGTAGTTTACCAATCTCTCTTTGTGGTGGTATTCTATAACAATGCAACTTCCAAGTCATGTGGCACATCTGGGTCTTTTCCAAGGATTTGAACACCTGACCCCTGGGTCCACAGCCAAATCCCCCAACCTACTATGCTATCCAGGCAGATGACGACTGTTTACCAAATGATCAATCACTATAGTGTCATGCTGTGTTATGAGATTTTGTTAAAGTGCAATTTACACTTGATCAGAAATCTGATCAAAAACAGATTTAACATGCAGCAAGAGTTAGAAATGACCAACTTACCAAGTGGACACATGCACTCTCTGTTAAGCTTCTTTTGCTCAGTGGTTGCCTGTACTTAGACTCTATTTTGTGTTATGTCTTTTAACCCTGGCTTCCTTCTGGAGCCCTTTATCCTCTTTTGCCAAGCCTGTTCTTCCGCCCCCTCCCTTTTCCTTTTCCCGTGGCCTCCATCATCTCCTGACAGTGTGTTTCATTCATTGTCTTCTCTTTAGTGAGACCGGAGATACTTGTCAAAGCTAAGGAAGCTTTCCCGCTTGTGTTATGCTTATAAAGTGCCATGTAAATTTACGACGCTATAACAAGTGATTGCTATTACTGCCTTAAATAACAATTGATAGCTTTATGGGGCATGTGTTAAAATATTACCTCCCTCTGCTAGCAGGTGATAACCCATTTTCCTTTCCATTTCTATACGTTAAGCTTTGGTTATATAGGTTGTCATTGCCAAACAGCAAGGGAATAAGAGGACTGACTGTAATGGTATTGCACAAAAGCTTTACCACCAAAAATATAATCTACCTGGGCAGGCTTTGTGTGTCTGTAGAAACACCTGCAAGTAGTATATAGATTGGCCACATTATGCTCAAGTCATGTGGTCAAAAGATGTGGCACTGCCGTGGTTACTTAACCAGTCCCTCCAGTCAAAGCATCTGCTAACCTTTACTATACAAATTATGCAGTCATGATGGTAGCAGAAAATGGGCTTCCTCAGCTGGCTGAGCCACAGCAGTGTACTTTTTTACAGCCCATATATGGTCTGATTCACACTGCGTTTTCCCTAAGTTAAGCTTTAGGTGTTACCCCTTCTGTTTCATTGCCCTCAGTTCTCTGTTATACCAGGGAGCTGACCCACCTCTAGAATTGGGGAGGAGCACTTAGAAGTGATAGTGTCAATCACTATTTTGGTGTGCCATGGATCAGTCAATGCCACCAACAAACAAAGGAAGAAGCTCCCCAAGCACATTCAGAAAGCCATTTGGATCCATCAGGAGCCTGGGACAGATGATCCTGCTTGGTCCAATACCTATTCAGCAGTTCACATTAGTTGCCAATCCAACGTAATAGTTTTTTCAGCAAATGATTTTCCTGATGATTGTCATCAACAGGTATTTGTATTTGTTTCATTGATGATTCTGAGCCTTTTCTTGGTTCTGAAATCCAGATTATAATGTGACACAATTAGTTTATAAACAGACTGCCAGATTTATTTTCTTCCTTATCTTGCTTTAGATGAGGATCTTGACATCCCTGCTCTGTTTGACAAGGAAGATGCTGGAAATGTAGAGAAAACAGGTAAAACAAGTGCACACACTATAATTGTTACAATGCAGCATTTTTAAGTTGCACAGAATGTAGTTGCCATAGTTTCAAATTTGGATAGACTGCATGAGATGCTACATTTTTATGTTGCACATGTAAGATTTCTAAGGTGCACACTTAGCAATCTGATATATATATATATATGAAATAATCTTGTTTTTGCACACACGTGTATTAGAACTGTGCAACCCCCTCTCCATGTTGTGGCATCCAGTTTGGTTATCCAGATTCATCCTTAATTCATTCAGCCTTGATTCAGTTTGGACTGCTTTCGATCTACCTCATCTGAACCAGTATCAGTGTCAAAACCAAGAAACTTAAAATGTTATGTTACTCGTTGATTTGCACCAGGAAACCAAAATGGCCATAACTCTCGTTTCCACATAAATGCATGAAATGTGGAAACATGATAGCTGCTTAAGAGGATTGATCCTGCCAAATTGCAGATTCACGTTTTTGTGCCAACTGCCTTAATATTTGCCTCAAAAATGTCTGTAGCATCTTTGCTTCTTCACAAAAGTGCATGAAATGTGGCAGCATAATAGCGCCTCTGGAGAAAATTGCCCCAAACAAACTGCAGACAGATACATCTATGAGGTTTTGTGCTAGTCACCTTTTCTTTAATGGCCAGAATCCCATTGGGAAAGTATTTGTATGTAAAGATAAGAGTGCAGCAGTTTTTCTGTCTCAACCTGCTGTCTATCACATGAGTGGGCATACAGTTGCTTCCCTGACTCAAGGAAGCAAGGCAGCATGACAAACAGCTGACATCACCAGTAAATGTGCTTAAATTACTACCTACTTATGCTGCATGAAATCAACAGGATTCTGGCCAGTATGCTGGCTAATGCATGCTGTTTTTCTGTACTATGGTAGTGTCTGTGATGAGGGTGTGCTGCTTGGGCATTAAGACTTATGCTGGGTGTATTATACACACGTATGCTGTATAATAGATACAAGAGAAAAACAATTTTAAAAAGAACAAACTATAGACAACACAGATTGGAAACCTAACCTATGGGGGCAGGGGCAGATAAGAGAAAGAAGCAGTGCCACTGCCTAATAAAACTGCTGCTGAAACAATACTGAGATCAACACACAAACTTATTCAAATACCAAATACAATGGGGAATCCTTCCATTCACACTGGAGATGTTTATTCTTCTTTGAGAAGGGTGCACACAAGTCTTTGGATCACTGGTTTACTCATGAACAAGGTTTATCCAGTTTGGTGGTTGTAGGTTTTCCAGGCTGTTTGGCTGTGTTCTGGAGGTTTTTCTTCCTAACATTTCGCCAGTCTCTGTGGCCGGCATCTTCAGAGGACAGGAGTGTTAGAACTCTGACCAGAACGCAGACAGAGTTCTAACTCCTGTTCTCTGAAGATGCCAACCACAGGCAAAACATTTGGAAGAAAAACCTCCAGAACACAGCCAAACAGCCTGAAAAACCTACAACAACCATCAGATCCAGGCCGTGAAAGCCTTCGAGAATACATTTATCCAGTTTGCTCATGCGTAAGTTTACCTGGTTTATTTGTGAATAGAGAGGTGACAGTGTCATTGGGCCAAGTTCATAGAGGCTGTACTGGCCCAAGGATAAATGTTGGGGTGAAGGTTGGGGAGACAAAAGAGAGAAACCCCCCCTTTTTTTTCTTCTCAGCCAGGGCTCTGCTTGACCTGCACTGCCTTTGGGGAGGCACAGACCCCTTCCCTGCCTTTCTGGCAGCTGTCATTCAGCCAACTTCAATGGCTTTCCTTTAAAAAATAATAAGTAGCCTACTGAAAGAGCAATGCATCAACCTAGCATATTAGCATTGAGCTACATCTGTTAGGAAAATAGTAAAAAAAAAAGAATATGAAGACAATAGAGAAGGTTTCTTTGTTCTCCCTTTTAATGTCTCAACCCACCTATTATGTAACAAAGTTGTCACTTCTGATAATGCCACCTACAGCTCCATTTGGTGTGACTTAACCATTTATTTTTATTTATTTATTGAAAATATTTTACCCAGCTTTCTCTTTAAAAGAACCCAAAGTGACTTACATCATTTAAAAATCAATATTTTAAAAGTAAAAATAAAAAGTGTACAAATATTTAAAAGTAATTAAACAAGTATTATATTAAAAACGGTAAATAAAATTAGTTATAAAACATTTTTACAACAGAGCACAATAACCCATCCATGCAGGCTGCACAATGAGTCAATTAGGACTGCAGTAAACCATACTAAAAAGTGTATGTGCCCTAGTGTTGTGCCAGAAAGGTGTACAACAGCTCTTAAATGGACAGGGTGGATTGATCTAACTAGAAATATGTGTGGACTCCATCATTTGTTCTGAACCAAACCATACCAACAGAGATCCATATACTGATCTATATACCAGTCTGGACAGGCCAAAAGGAAGGAAAGGGAGGACTGGGTTGGAAAAGTGTTAGGACAGGACTGAAGGGAGATGGGAAAGAGAACAGAAACTACAGTAAACCGAAAACTGACAACAAACTCCAACAAAGCTCTTTCAAAATCTGTTTTCATGACAGAGAACTAGCAGAAGAATGGTAATTGGACAGGGATTTTTTCCTAACACTTGAAGCTATTGTTATCAAAGAGCAAAAAGCAGCTTCCCTTCCCTTTCTCTCAAACCTGGTATTTTCATTTATGTGGGTGTTCTGTAGCATATTGGAGACACATAGTCTAGCTTTTCTTTTTTGACTGTGAAGATCATGGAGTCTGATTTGGACCCAGGACAGATTGTCCCAATCCAACTTGCACCTGATCTTGATTAGCCCAGAGTCTGGGATTCCACTTGGGGGGTCCTACCATTAGGCAGAGGGAGGCAGTTGCCTTGAGCATCGGATTTTGGCTGTCATTGAAGGCTGGAAATTGTTGGGTTTTTACTTTGTTATAATTGTATCTCTGTTTCCAGGTGATTGAGGAATTGTCTGCCTCCTTTGTCAAAACCACTTGGTAGGCTTTGCAAATACGCACCATGACTTGTGGGGGGAAAGCTCAGTTTTGCACCTTTCCTCAGATAGAAAATTGTTTTAAGCCATTTCTGCTATACAGCATTCTCACAGATCAGCCATTCAGTGTATGATGAAGAGTACCAAAAATAATAATAAAAAAACAGGGAAAGCAGATAGTTTTATCTATAGGATGACCTTGACACTCAACCAGCAGAAGGCTGTTATGGGAATGACCCATTTTGGGGTGGTCTGTAATCAAGCAGTACAAAATATGTGCCACCACTTGAAATCAGTTCTTACATACCTCCAAAGGCAAAGAATATGGCCAAGTTTAATACGGGAGAAAGGGTGAGAACAACCTTACTCTGTCACATCAAATTAAGCCAATTTGAGCAGAAGTAAAATTCCCCAGTTCCAAATACTAGTTTTTGGAAACTAGTATTTTTTTTAAAAAAAACAAACTAGTTTTTTGGATTACAGCTCCCCTAGTCCTGCACACAGTATGACCATTCACCATGCTAGCTGGAGGATTTGGGGATTTTTAGTCGAAAACGTAAGTTCTCCAAACTCTGATTTTTCTTGATTCAAAGTGGGGGGGGAGGCTTATTGTCAGACTGAAAAATGGAAAAGGAAACTACGCAGTACACACTCCTCCTTCATCTCTGTATCCATGATATCTTTTAAGACATCAAGATTGTTTAGTTCCATTAATCTGGTTTCCTGATTTAGCGTCCAGTTGTTGGTGTAGATGTTTTTTTTTCCTACCCAGTATGAATCTTTTGAATCATCTTCCTTTACTGTCCCCTACCCCCACCCAACCATCCCTTAGTTCAGAAAATAGATACCAGAAAGCCTTTGAGAAGGAGCCAAGCTCATAAAACTTGGGTGACAGAAGTGTGGAAGGGAAAGAGGCAGGCAAAAGAGGAAGAGCTTTTGAAAGAAACGGGGTGGAGAGAGAGAGAAGAGAAGAGAAGAAGGTGGATAAAGAACTTCTGAAAAACCAGAGGCAGAGCAGAAGGAGAGTACAGCCGCCTGTGCCAAGAGGAAAAGGAAGGAAGGAAGGGCTGCTGACTGGAAAGTTGGCTTTCACAACCATTGCTCCTGGCTGGCACTCACAAGGGGACTGCTCTTATAGAGCCTCCACCCTTGCTTTTTCCTTGAGAATTCAGCCATGCAGGAGCTGAGCGGAAAGCCTGCTTCCTGAACCAGCTCTGTCCCATGCGCCCCTCGCTCTTGCTCACTGTCTCCACCATCCCACCTGCTTTTCTCCCTGCCAGAAACCCACTCAGGAAAGAAGCACTTAGGTGGAGCTGCTTTGGGTTTCCTGCACTTTTGAGTGTCATCTTTTGCACACAGCACAGGAAACAGGAGCATGCAAATAAACTCTGGTTCATCAAGGCCACTTAGATGATATTCTAATCTCCAACCTGGGTGATGTATTTTATGAGGGAGGTAGTTTTTATTTCCTACACTAAGCAATTGGAGAGATTTAGACTTGAATTTTAGAGATTGTACTGAGCTTAATTTATACCCAAATCGATATGTGACTCAAGTCTTCCAGAAGTTAACAGAAAGTGCTCACTGAGAGCAAGAATCTCTGCTTCCACCTCAGACAAGACTGATTTATTCTATAATAAAAAAATATACTCAGACTCTTCATATACACATAAGTTGTTTATTTTATATTACTACTTCATTTCTTCCAAACCTTAACACTGTCACTAAAAATAGTTTTTGGAGCACTTAAAATAATAAACCTTGCATTGTTGGATTTAAGTAATGTGCTTAAGTTTTTTTCTGCCTACTGTTACTTTTTAAAATTATTTTAATGGTTTCTAATATGCTTTTATTGTTGTTTTATATTATTATATCCATGTAAATCAACCTCATTGGAAGGAGGGGCACTATACAAATTATTGTAATCATTTTCTTTTTGTTTTGTTTCTCCTCTCAAACATTTTCCTAGCCATGTTACTCCAGGATGTACATCTATATAGCAGCTCAGGTTC